GCGCGCGCGCGAACAGTCTTTGTGAGAACCATCTTGACGTTTGTGGTGTGGTGGACCTTTTAAGAACGGCAGAAAGTAATGTTTAAGGTTGGAGTTAGCATAGATACAGGGAATTCATTATGTGTCAGTCCTCACAGTCGCAGTCTTACTTGTATGTGTGTGTTTCCTCTCGGTGCATGCAGGCTGCAGATGTTCCTCTCACGCTCTCTCGCTCGCGGGAAATAAGTGCAGGCAGAGTGCAGGATCACACACAGACACGTTCCTCTCCAGCTGCCTCGTGAGGCAGAGTGTGATGCCATGAGCGAGACAACGTCCATCCTCTGCTGACAACCATGAGCAACCGACTGATTCCTGCTGTAATGAACCGTCTGAAAAGGACTTTTAAGGGACTCGCCGGTAGATTCACGCAGTCAAGATGCGTTATTTGACCAAATCTCTGATTTTATTTCTATATTTTGCCATTACCGTGGAATGTTATAAGCACGGTCACCGGGTGCGAAGGTGGGCCGGTACTGGGGAGACCCCAAAGCATGGCACGTAAGTGAAAAATACAGAGACAATCAAAGCACGATTAACACGTGGAAATGTGGGTGACTCAGCTTAGTAAATTATACGTTTAACAAAACTGTTTATGTCACAAACAAATGTGTTAGTTATCTTACATTAGATATGATGGTTAATGTAGATGCTAAAGATTAATGGATGGCGTGTGATGTTAGAAATATTTAATCTAAGGCGACATTAACCACAGCTGCTCTACTTAAAATCAGTTGAAATTATTTAGCAAAGAATGGTGTATATTTGATCAAAATGGTGTAGAGGCATTTGAGTTGAAATTAAAGGTTTTGTCGTTGATTTATTTTAGATGTAAATAGTGTTTTTTAAAATCCCTGAACTTTGTGCACTGCATCAATAAGGTGTGGTCAGAGCTGAATGTCAGTGTGATTATATCTCCTGCTTATGATTATTAATCATTGTACTGGTTATTTTGATTATTTATGACTATTTATTCTTATATATGGCTTAACAGCAATCTATGGACTGCACTGACTATCAAAGTGCGCTACCAAACGTGTGTTCGCTGAATAATGCTCTTAATAGAAATTTCAGAATTAGAGACTTGTTCAAGGATGCACTGAGAGGTCGTCAGAGACCTCTAAAGAAGAAAAGCATCTGTAACTTGTTGAATTGCATAAAACAGCAAACAGACTTCTGTGTTAATGAGAAGTGGTGTAAGAGCAGAAGTAATATAGTGCACATGGTGTGATATTGATATATGGTTGCAGGAAATAATTTATAATACTTTAACATTTTCTATATTTCAGCAAAAAATATAACCAAAACATCATCAGAGTTTTATACAGATGCTAAATGCCAATGCAGAGATCCTAGTTGAATAAAATACATGACAATATTGAAATTGGACTGGTTCTTATGTCCTGCTTTTTGCCTTGCTTGACCATTCGTTATTCCATTATATGTGCTTTATATATATTACATCCATTAATACAAGCATTTTTTTCTATGCCTGAGTGCTTTCTGTATAGCATTCACAGACATTGTGGGGTGGCTGTAGCTCAGGTGGTCACCTACTCACCGGAAGATTGGTGGTTCGATCCCAGGCTCCTCCAATCTACATACCAAATATCCTTGGCGTGTAACCCCATGTTGCTCTCCGATGCATCCATTGGAGTGTGAATGCAAGTGAATGTTGGATAGAAGCACTAAAAACCTTAGATAAAGTGCTTGTGTGAGCAATGGGTATGATTGGGTGAATGCACAAGTTGAGTGCGCTCAGTGAGAGTAGAAAAGCGCTATATAAGAACCAGTCCATTTACCATTTATATTCTTCTATCTGAGAGCAACTTGGGGGTTTTGGTAGCTTGCCCGAAGACACGTTGGCATGTAGACTGGAGCAGGAATCAAACCACCAATATTCCAACTAGCAGATGACCTGCTCTAGCTCCTGAGCCACAGCCATCCAATCCATCAATGGCCATGATTAGTGCCTCTTTGCTGTCTTTCAGTCCAGCTTTGTCCAGCCACTGGTAGGACTTCTGGATGTCAGCCACTTCCTCTATCTGCCAGTGGTACATACCATGCAGGGGTCTATCCTTTCATGATGTGTTACGTCCCCACATGAAAGCTAGGCGAAGAGGGTGGGGGACAGTAACAGTTGGATCTGGGTTGAAATGAAAAGAACGCCAGGCAGAGGTATTTAACACAAAATATATCTTTATTATAATCAATTACCTCAATATTCATATAAACCATAACAACAAAAAGAGACAGCAACGCTGCTTTAATGATAAATCAGACAAGCCAACCCAACGAGATGGTGACCACTTCAACAAAGAAAACAACTATAAGGCTTCAACAGAAAAAGACAGCAACGCTGCTATTGGCAATAACCAGGCAGGCCAAACAAAATAACGGAGGCCGCCGTCACCTAAGTGAAACCACTGCTCAGTTAAGAGCTACTCACAAAGAGCCACGCACGGTGGGGCTGGTCACACACACAGCAGGCCTTTTCCACACCTAGACCAGACTCACACACTGACCAGCACAGAGGAAATCCACCAGAAGCCTCTCCCACATCCACACTGCTCTTCTCCAGCTTGTATCACCTCTGAGGGTAATTGGTGGTAAACGAGGGCAGATGAGCAGCAGGTGTGTCCTAAAAGAGAAGGCAGGGGCAGAGAGAGGAGGAGGTGGAGAAAAAACACCACACCCACACAAGGGCAGTTTCAGGAGGCCCAGCTAGGGCCGTTAGACCCCCTCCCATAGATACAAACCAGTGGTTTGTCACAGAATGTCCTACACAAAACTTAAATCTATCACCTACCATGCACCATAATAATGGTTAGGCATACCCTGCCAAATCTGCCAAGACCTTTTTGATGGGTTGAAAACACTGAATGGGGTTGGCTCAAGTCCCTCAACATAGTGTCCCAAGTGACAGCTAGAGGTTTTTTGAGCCATCACATATGGAGAACCCGTCAGGCAGCTAGAAGGCCTTATAGCAACACTTCTCTGACGCTTCTTCGCTGGGTCATGGCGAAAGGCATGCTGGTTAGCCAGAGGTGCAGGTTGGAATGGTTGTGTCGCACACAATCTGTCACACTGTAGGTCATCTGGACGATGATCAACAGGTGGCAGCTCAGAATTAGTCGACCTCTGACATTCACCAAATGACACCACTGAGCAATTATGCTCCCAATTGTTGCCTATGACTGGCAACCTTGTCTGTTTGTGAACCACAGTTCACTCTTTTGAAAGCAGATCGATTTTGCTTTGAGTTGGCTTTTGAACAGTGAGCAATCAGGTGGCCAGGTTTGTGGCAAAAGAAACAGAGCTTTATTCTGGATCTTGAAACCATGCCAGCATTAGCTTTGTTAGCAGGCACACTCCTAGCCCTCGAGACTGACTGTTTCTGTTTGTAGGTCTTACAATTTGCTACTAAATGGCCAGATTTAAAAGAGTAAAAACATTTCCGGTCTGACCTGGGACAAGGCACAGGCACCTCCCCCCTTGTGCCTTGCTCACCACTAGCACTGCTAGCCTTCGCTAGTGTGTCGCGTCGCTCTTGCTTAACGATACTGGCTTTATGGACGAGTGCGAACTCGTCAGCCAGTGTGGAGACCTGCTGCAAAGTGGAGACTTTCTGTTCATTCAGATATACTGCCATCCGCTCGGAGATGCAATTTTTAAATTCCTCAATGAGAATTAACTCCCGTACCGAAACTAGGTCTGCAGCTTTACAGGCCATACACCATCGGTCAAAGAGGACACTCTTTTCCCTCATAAAATCCAGGAAGGATTGACCCTGCACCTTTTTCAACCCCCGAAATCGCTGCCTATAAGCCTCGGGGACTAGTTCGTAGGCTAGCAGGATAGCACCTTTCAGTTTGTCGTAATCCAAACTGCACTCAGCGGACAACAAGGAACAAACTTCCTGTGCCTTGCCCACCAGCTTGCACTGCAGCAGGATGGCCCACGCATCCCGCGGCCAACGCAAGGCTGTTGCTATCCACTCAAATGATTCAAAATAAATCTCCACCTCAGTGTTACGAAATACAGGGACCAGACGACTATTCCTTCCTACATCAAACTGTACCTCTGTCTGTGACAGCGAAGCCGCCACAGGAGGGGAGGAGGCCTGCTGGAGTTTCAGCTGTCGCAGCTTGACCTTAGTCTCCGCCTCCACCTTCTTCAGCTCAACCTCCCTAGCCCTAGCCAGTTCCGCATCCAAACGCCTAAGCTCTAACTCCCTTCTCAGCATGAGAGAAGCTCTAACTCCCTTCTCTCATGCTCCTCCTTTTCCAGCTGGAGACGAGGCAGGCGGACTTTGAGCCTAGCATCCTTCTTAAAACCCTCTGATGACTGGGTGGAGAGTGGATCAAAACGGGGCAGCATCATTGGCCCACCCTCGGGCAGCCCCTGGCCCACAGGTGTACACACTGACGTTTCTATGACCTGGCTTGGAACATGAGGCGCTGCACTTGGTCCATCCGGACCGGGTGTGCTCGGGGGTTCTTGCATTACAACCACCCTCTTCTCCAACAACCCAGACACCAGAGCGGCCTTCAGCTCCACTTTGCGTAGACCAGTGGAGACACTGATCCTGTAATATGTTGCCACCTCATGCAGATCCCTTGTCTTCCTCTTCTTTATTGGGTTTCTGCTGCCTGAAGCATTCATTGAGCACACAGTCAGTTGGAGCCATCTTGCTGATATATTCTTGGATGTTTGTCTCATCCTGGACTGTGGTACTGACACTCACCAGTCCCTAGCCTCCTTTCTTTCGCTTAGCATACAGCTTTGGGGTGTTGGACTTGGGTCAGAAGCTACTTGTAGCTGTCCTCTGTGTCTGCAATGTTGCCATCTGGTGGTTCAATCCCCTCAGATCTGACTATGTTCCCTCTCTTTGTTATCATCCAACAACACTTCTCCAGTCCAAATGACATTCCGATGCCAATTCCTTTCTGTGCCCCACTCATGTTTTGAGCCATATGCCTATTCATCTTAGCTGCTATGATGCCTGACAGGAGCCTCCATGTGGTGCTGAGGCAGGTTATTGGATGGTAGTTGGATGGGACTGGTCCCTTATGGGGGTCCTTAGGGATCAAGACTGTCTGGCCTTTGGTTAGCTATTCCGAGTGTGTCTCATTGACTAGCAGTTGGTTCATTTATGCTGCCAGATGCTCGTGGCAGTCTGCTTCTTCTGTCAGTAGGCGTGAACCATATCGGGGCCTGGTGCTGTCCAACTCTTCATACTGGAGACCCTTTCTTGATATCTGCCTCTGTGATGGTTACTGGACCTTGTTCAGGGAGGTTGCTGTGGTGTTCTCTTAGATCCACTACCCACTGAGCATTGCTGTTGTGGGTTGTGTTCTTTTCCTATATGCTCTTCCAGTATTGCTCCACGATGATATCTCCCTCCTGTCATCCTGGCTCCCACTTGCCGTTGCATGTGTATTGTACCTCGTCAATCTCTAGCTGTGAGAGCAGTCCCTTCCTCTGATTGCTGGAACACT